GCACGCGGCGACCGCACCGGCCTGCGCCCACCGCTGTTTGGCCCGCGCGCACGCACGCCGCCGGCCTCAAGGTCCCCGCGCTCGAACCCCGGGACGCCCCGCCGCCGCCGCCGCCGCCCATGCTGCGTTCGTGCGTACAGTCGTGTCACGTCTCCTCTAGCCACACTGCGATGCTTTTGCTTTCGATAGTATCGCGGTATCTGTACCGAAACTGCAGTGTTCGATAATTGAATTAGTAGCTTGTGAGATTAATAAATTCATTATTCCAGCCCGGTCAACACTTTTTTTGAACTTCGTATATAGTATAGTTCCAGTAGAACTTGAACATTTCATCTCCTCAGTCCCAGAGATGAAAGACGCCGTTCTCCGCGCAATGTGTATCGTGGGTTATTTTTTCAACTCCTGCTTATAATGAAGATAGCGTCTTGTAATTTTCCCCATAAATTTGTCAAGCGGAAATGATTGACGAAATTATGATACATTGTTGATATAGTATCTTGGAATGCAAATATTCGCATGGATTGTGCAAAGGGCATTAGAGAGAAAAGAATGGGACCTGGGAAAATTAATCACGAAAGCGAAAAGGAATCCTGCTTATAATTCACCTCCCAATCTCTTGTAGTACTCATGGAACTCATTCCGCATTAGCATGTGAAACTTGTTTCAAACAGCAATCGATTACCTCGATAATCTTTTTCCGAGTGGTAATCGGATCACGGAACAATTCAAAATTGAAATATTCCATGCACAATGCCGCCACCGCACATGTTGTTTCCCTGAGAAGGAAGGTGTGGGCGCAGCGCGGGACGTGTCGTGCGCGGAGGCGACTGTACGTCGCCGTCGCCGGGCGTTCGTTCGCGGAACGCTCGAAGGCGATGCGGGGCGGGGCGTCGGTGCAGCGCGCGACGACGGGGCCCTCTCGCGCACAATGCAAACGAGCGTGGCACGTTCGCCTGGCCGCCCTCCCGCGTGCGCGCCAAGCCGCGCTGCCCTTTTTCGTCACGTTGTAGTGGCGCGGAGCGGAGCGGAGAGAGCCGTTTGACGGCGGCGGCCGCGGGGGCACGCTCCGTCTCGCCGGCTGGCGCCTGGCGCACTTGTAGCCGACGCCACGCAACGCCGCGACGGCCGGGGCCCGGTTGTTCATTCACAGGACTTGGTGGCATGTACTTGTCGAAACGACTCGGGTTGTTTAATCACATGATTAACTGGCAAGAGAAGGCGATGTTCATACTTTTCAAAATAATTTCATTCAGAATAAAATGTTTTGGACTATTTAAAAATGGCAGGAATAGTCGAGTGGTTTTTCTCCCCTGGCAAGTATGACCACGAGGGTTTTGATGTACTTGATGGAGAAAGTGCTGTGGAATGAAGTTGTTAAGTAACCCATGTTATAAGGGGTTACGGTGACTTATAACGTGTGGGTGGGAATAATGAGTACTAATACATTGATACACCTCTGATCTTATCGGGCACGTACGTTAAATCGCTGATTAACAAGACTTGTGATGCAGTGGCAACGCGCGTGTCGTGGCCCGGAGAGGTGCTAAAGAGCTGGAGCGCGTGCGGGGAGGCCAGCTTCTCGCGCGTCGCCGATCTCGTCGCGCCGGGCGTTTAAATGGTCGCGGGGCGGGGCGGTGGGACGTGCCGGCTGGCGGCGGCGGCGGCGGCGGCGGCCGTTGCCAGCGGCGTGCGTCACCGGCCGCCGGATTCAAACGCGCGCAACGGTCGGCGGCGCCGGTGGCGGCGGCAGGTCGTCCGTGCGGCCGGCGGCGGTGCCCCGAGGCGGAACGCCTCTTGTTCGCCCGCGCCCTCGCCCGGCAACGCTGAGCAGAATAAATCGCCTCCGTTAAATGCGCTGTGTGCGCGCGGCCCGGCTCCCGGCCAAGGCCGCGCCCGCCCGCCCACGCACCCGCATCGCCCACCCCGGAGGCTATTGCGGAGAAGCGCCAGGCCCGGCCTTTCGGCGTCGACGCAACCCCGGAAGGGCACTTAAATGGCTAAATAATGAATGAAAAATGCCGTTATTGAGTTTCAATAGCTTCCCGTGGGTATCTAATTGTGAAGCTTTAGTGTTTGTCTCCGTCTTGCATTCCTTGTAATACGACAAAGCAAAAATCAAGAACGACCCTATTTTAGTAACGATTTAGTAAAGGGGTGTAGACTGGTCGTGGTGTTAAACCTGCAATGTCGAATCATCCTCGCGGGAATATTTGAAAATAACCATAATTGCGGACGTATCACCGTCATCGCATTTTTCAAAAATTAGTACTTGCTGGGAATGCAGAAGGATTTCGTCGATGTGTCTCACCCAGATCACAATCTCCCAGGTGCTGCGGTAACGAAAGCCACCTAGGGACGCACATAGTTCTCGAGTCGCCGCCGCCGCCGCCGCCACGCGCCCTGCTCAGCTGATCGCGTGATTGACGCGTTGCGTAAGCGCGCGCGCGCCGTTGAAGTTCCTCGCGAGTCGAGTCGCGGCTTCGACGTCTGCTCGTCGGCGCGCGCGCCGGCTAAAATAGAAGGGTCCAGGCGCTCACGCAGCTGCCAGCAGTCGACGCTCGTCTCGGGGAAGCTGCGAGACGTCGCTTCGCGTCGGTGGAACAATCGACGTTCGCCCGTCCAACTTGTTTCTCTTAAAATACATACGCCCTTCGAAAATGTCGATCCACCTTCGTAAAGGGCACGCTTTGTTTTGTGTGGAAACTATGCTTTGGCCAACTTGGCATACGCGTGCGTCTCAACATGTTCTGCCGCAGAATCGATTGAAGGAAAAACGCGTGGGTGGATGCATTTATAGTCCAAATGTTAGAATAAGGTCGTGTTTGATGTGGGGTTTCTTTTAGAGAGCTCTTAACTTGTAGAGATAACTTTGAAAATATCAACTGTGATGAAACGGAAAAACGGGATCCACGCGATGTTTTTCGGTCATTGGATTCGTAAAACGGGGCACCGTAAGGTCTAAGAGCGTGTTTTCATCTCATTTTCCTCAACAAATTTCCTATACGTCATTAAAGACACCGTCGATAGTAAAATTAAAAACGCGAAATCATCGTTAGTGTGAATTCTTTGATACCTCAATTATTAATTTATTTTACCCCGTCATTTTAATATGTTATCGAATTTCGAAGTAGCCAGTCCTCAGATTTGATTGACAAGGGCGCCCGCCTTTGAATGAGAAAGTGACCGCGAACGTGTGTGCGAATTTAAGTGTTGTATGCACGTACGAGATGTGTGGTGGATATTTTCTCTTGCCGCTTGGAAGCAGGCGTTTGAGCCGCAAGACGTGGCGAGCGATGCACCTTATCCTTGGGCAGATGCATTCCCGGTGGCGGCGCGGCGCGGCGCGGCGGTCGGGCGTGAGTCACCCTGGCGGGGCGGCCGCGCCAGCGCGTGGTGGCACGCGCAGGGCACGTCGCCGTCGTCGCAGGTTGCGCGGGGGTTTGGCAGCGGCGGGGGCAGCACCTAACGGACCCGCCGGCCCCGCTTGTAAGGATCGCACGCGCCTGGCCCGGCCCGGCCCAGCCCCGCCCCGCCCCGCCCTGCCCCGGCGCGGGAGAAAGCATTACGTCCCGATTTGTAGAAACGAAACGCCCGGCCATCTCCCGCCCTCCGCGCCTCGGGACGCCCCGTGCCCGTCGACGCTCCGCGCGCCCGCGCAGTCTTTGCGATCGGGATTCCGGCCCTTGCTGGAAGTTGAGGTGGAGTTTCGGGGTTTGGAAATTGGATAAATTGTTTGCTTGTGACTGGAGAGACACGTAGATGGTCTACAAATAGTTTGAAACGTTCAATCTCAACGTCGCCTGCAATCGATTATATGTACTGTTGTGGCCGTGAGATATTTTTTAACTCAATTTTCCGAACTTTTACGATGCTTTGTAAGTGAAATCCTGTCTTTTAAGTGCAGGTAGACACCTGTATATCATTTGTGTTTGTTCCCAAATTGAATTAAATGTCCTGTGTCAAATTCATCCAATTTTATATAATAATAAATTGCTATTAGTTGTTTAATTCCGTAGGTCCTGTATCTAGACTGTCTCTGTCAATTCGAAAATTGGAGATAGATTTCGATTATCTTCTAAATTGATGTTCTATCGCAAGGGAAATTTTATAAAACGCAATACATTCACTAAAAAGAGGGCAAATAACTGAGTAATATGACGAGAGATTCTTCCTAATTAGACATGCATGTAATAAGTACCATTGGTTAAAAATAGCTTACTCGTTCCATTGTTTGATTTCGAATTGCATGTCTAAAGGCGACTCCACACATTCGGCATTCGGCGAATTTTCGCTCCCTTTGATGTGTTCGAAAGACCGACACGCGGTGGGTAGGACGAATACCGAACGTTCGGCGCTCGGCGAATCGCAAACTACTCGGGATTGGCCTTTATGGTGAATGTGTTTCAAGTAAACATCGCGTTCTTGATTTCCTGCAGTTTGCTTCATGGTAAGATTGTATTTTTACCGGAATTAATTATTGGATTAATGGTTATCGTAATGTAATTCTATTAACTTACATTTAATAGAAAACGCATGAACATTTCCCTTCATCTTGATAATCCAAACGTAATCAAACATGACTACGTCAAACTTCTGTTGTTTTTTTTTAAATTGGCAAACGAGAGCCTAGGCTTCCGCGGCCGGAGTCAGTAGCTACTTGGCTGTCCGCATTTTGCCCTGAGGAAGGTCGCAGAATGGAAGCCGAAACTGCACTTTTGCCTGGTCATCCAAGTAAGCGACATCGTAAACGATTGGGGGGAGAGGAAGTCGTATTGAACATTTTAGCCATGCTCACCAAACGTATTCGGTTCGTTTCTCGACAGTTTTGATTCGTTGATGATGTTGTTGTTGTTGTTATTATTATTATTATTATTATTATTATTATTATTATTATTAATTTGTCGTGTTTTTATTTAGTAAATCAAAGTCTAATATCGTTGTTTCCATTTTAATTTTGTTCAAGGTAGTTATTTGACCTTTTTCTTCAATGTGTGTTTCAGGGGCAAGTTCGCGGCCGTGCGCAAATGCACACACCGCGAGACGGGGGTTGAATATGCCGCCAAATTCATCCGCAAGCGGCGCCGCGCCATGGACCAGCGGGCAGACATCCTCCACGAGGTAGCGGTTCTCACTGCGGCCGCTGGGAGCAGCCGCATCGTCACATTGCACGAAGTTTACGAGACCGCAACAGAGATGGCGCTCATTCTTGAGTTGTAAGTTTCCCGTCGGCGGGATTTTGAAACTCCAATATTATGCCTGACTCTTGGAAAAATTATTACTTCGGCCATGTCAAGTTTCACGACGTCTTGCATTGATTTTTTTAAGGTCTTGTTTATTTTCGAAAATGATCGACAACTTATTATTAATGTGTGGAATAGACAAACATTTTTTTTTAGTTATGTGGTTCCATACTGTACTGACGTGTTTCACTCCTCAGTGTAGGAAATTATTATTATGTATACTTTCATGTATGCTAAATTATTTTTTAAAAAATCGATAAGAATTCAAAATTATCAGTTTCATTGTTGGGCATAGCAGAGAGGAATTATTATTTTGATTATCTAACAAAATGTTATCAATTTCATCAAATTCCTGACTCTTCCAAAATTTCATTCCATGAACAGATCTAAGTCATTACACTAATTTTTTTTTATTTTCTGGGAGATGGGGGTGGAATTCAAGTAAAACAGGTGCCTCTTTATGTAACATGATTCATGTGATTTCAAGACTTACTGAACACTGTATGTTAGAACACTGTTTAAAGTGTATCATTCTACAAAAAATATAAACAAGAATTACAAGTATAAAGTTATTAATTTTCTCATTTTCAAAATTACTAATATAAAATTAGTAAAATAATAAATACCAACTAAACATTGAATTTGTTCACAGAGCTGCTGGTGGGGAGCTGCAGCATGTTTTGGATGTGCAAGAAGGGCTGGAAGAGCTGCAGGCAGCTCGTTTCATGAAACAGATCCTTCAAGGGCTTGGCTTCTTGCACAACCACAACATTGCACATCTGGACTTAAAGGTATTGCCTTACCAAACACTATTTGATGTGAATAAAGTGACAAATGAGTTTGTGGTGATAATTAATGTTGACGTTAGTATTAAATTACTTGTGCATTTGAGTCACCCTTGCTTTGGTATTTAGTGCTCAAGATGAGATAGACTTTTGGGAAGATCCAATAATTCTAGTTTATTATTGAAATTGTGGCATTTATTACATCTAGAGCTGAAGAAATTATTTATTAATCATTTCAATTCTGGCTGTTTTGTAAATTATTTCCTACATTTTTGCCATTCGGAATAAACTAATGATTTCATTTGTTTCAGCCGCAAAATCTGTTATTAACTGGAAACTACCCTGATTGTGATGTAAAATTGTGTGACTTTGGTATATCCAGGGTCATTCAGAATGGTGTAGAAGTTCGTGAAATTCTTGGAACTCCTGATTATGTTGGTAAGCTTTTGGCTTGAGTGAAAATGAAAATACTTTCCAGCATGAAGAACTTTCTCTTTTTTGAGGTTTGTTGTTGAGGTTGTAATATCCTGTTTTCTTTTTATTTCAGCTCCAGAAGTGTTGAGTTATGAACCAATCAGTCTAGCAACAGACATATGGTACGTTTTAAAATTTTAAGTTTAAAAAAAATATTGTGGTTTGGGAGAAATTTGTGTGGAGATGCTGAATTATTACACATTACTGAAAAAAATTATTTATATTATATGTTTACTATGTTTTGAATTTATAATTGATTGTTGTAGGTCTGTTGGTGTTTTGGCTTATGTATTGGTATCAGGATTCTCCCCATTTGGAGGTGATTCAAAACAAGAAACATTTTTAAACATTTCAAAATGTAAACTTGATTTCCCAGAAGAATTGTTCCAAAACGTTTCTAAGGAAGCCCAGGATTTTATTCGTGCCACTCTCCATATTGATCCTAGGTAAATATTACTTTTCTGTCTTAGAATTTTCTAGGAACTCCGTGTGTAATATTTTCTCACAAATTGCAATCTTCTTGTGTATAATGTTAGTTAAAACATAAATCTTCTTCCAATTCTCTTTATTTTCAATTTTTGATCAATAAAACTATTTGTATAAGTTTTAAAATAAAATATGTTAGTAAGAATTCATATGCAATTCCTTTCCCTTTGTTTTGAAAATGGAGAATTTTTTTTCTTTCTATATTCAGATACAAAACTTGTTTTTAAATATATGTAAGAAATTAATGTGGCTATTTTGTAAAATTTTCAGGAAACGCCCTTCGATTGAAAATTGCCTGACTCACCCCTGGATGTGCAGTGTGGCAGACAGACCTTGCCTACCCCTTTCTTGTTGCGAAGAAGTTATAGTTGCTGTTGTTCATGAAGATGACAAGGAAAGCAATGGTTTCCCAGAAAATACCAAGGTCAATGATGACAATTGTCAAGAAGAGAAAATCAATAACAACAACAACACGTCTGATACAAAAGATGAGAGAGGGAGTGCTGATTTTGGTTCTCTTGGCATTCTGAGAAGTTTTACTCAGAATTTTAAAGAAAAATCTACCTCAAGGTCAGTTGGAGAAGAAAATGGAAATAATGCTAATGACGATGTTGTTATAATTTCCCTCAAAGAGGAGGAAGAAAATATTCCTCCATCCCTTTCGAATAGCAAAGAAGACTTCGAAGGCATTACCAATGGTCACTCCAAAAACGAGATCTCCAGTCACTTCATTCTTAAATCAAATGCTAAACATGATTCAACTATTGGCGCATCAGGCACTGACAGCGAAGAAGACAAAGACTCTCCAGTCAATAAGCGACCTAAGAACTGCCTAGCAGGCCGAAGATCATCCTTCCCTGTCGTGTCATGTCTGTCTTGTGCACAGTGTGGATCTCAGTGTTGCCATCATTCAGCTCCTCACTCGCCTGACTTGCGTCTGAACCAGCGACATCACAATGGAATCGCCAATTCTCCTGTTGAAATCACACCGGACCGAAGTATTATTTGCTAACAGCATGCCAAATACAAATAATCAAACAAATGAACTCAAATAAGTTTAAGTGTCAGACTGTTACTATTTTAATTATTAATTTATTTTGAAAAATTTAAGAAAAAGAAGGCATTATTTGAAGGATGATGTACACAGAAATTGCACATGAATGTTAGTTTAGTGTATTTTGCAAGAACCACCGTCCAGATTTGCATCAGTGTGGGTGTTATCTGGTATATTAACTGTAAGAATTGAAGATCAGTACATTATGTGATCAATTACGTATTCACATTAAATGGTGAAGTGAATAAACAGTGTAAAATGTATTATAATTTATTACCTATAATGTTAACATTGTTAAAGTAATGTTTATGTACATAAAGTAAATGTAATGAATATAATTGTAGTCATAAGCAATGTTGTTTCAACTACAAGTGTATTTATAGTTCATTAACAATGTTAACATTATACTGAATCCTTAGTGCCTCCACACTTCATTAGGAGAATATCTGGGTAATACAATTCAATATGATTGAATTCTAGGTATTGAAGATACCATTACTGAGTTTATTGGTTTTCATTATCTTCTTGATCGTGTAAATAAAGTAAAAGTGCATTGTAGTTTATTGTATTTTTAAATAGCATCACAAATAGACACCTGGTGTGAAATTATTTGTGGAATTTTGTGTTCAATTACTATACTTCTAGTTAGTTTGTTGTACTACATTTTTCTTTTAAATCTTTCTTATGCAGTAGTTAATGTTCTTCCTTTGTTAACTGTTTCTTATTGTTAAGTATAGGTACTGCAAATATTATTCAATGGGTTTATTTGTATATTAGTTTAAAATAGTATATGGGACCAATAATTAGGAAACTTGGCGTCACAGTTGAAATTATAGATAAAAGAATGTGTACTCTGTATTATTTATATAGAGAGGAGATGTTCTTTCCACGTGTTGTTTTGAAAATGAGGAAATTTTTATTTTTTCTTGTCGTACTAGTTCTAGCATACAAAGCTGTTGGTTAGAATAGCTATGTAGAAATTATGTCGGCTCGTATAAGGCTGGTGTTTGTAAAATTGTTCCAGGAAACGCCTTTCGATTGAAAAGTTGCCTGACTAAGCCCCTGGGATGGTGCAGTGTGGCAGACATGACATGTTGGGCCTAGCCACTGTTTCTCTTTGTTGCGGAGAAAGAGCGCGCTCCGGTATGAACAATGGTACGTTGCTGTTGGTTCATGAAGATGACAAGGAAGAGGCAATGGTCGTTCCCAGAAAAATAAGCCGAACGGTCATTGATTGCGCGAGGATGACAATTGTCAAGAAGAGCCAAATGCAATATACAACAACAACACGTCTGGATACAGAAAGATGGAGAAGAGGGAGTGCTGATGTATTGTTTGGTTCTCTTGGCATTCTAGAAGTTTTACTCCAGATTTTGAAAGAAAGAAAGGTCTACCTCAAGGCTCATGTGGAGAAGAAAATGGAAATAAATGCGAACTGACGGAGTTGTGTATAATTTCCCTCCAAAGAGGAGGAAGAAAATATTGCCTCCATTCGCCTTTCGAATAGCAAAGAAGAACGTTCAATGGCAATTACCGATGGTCGACCTCCAAAAACGAAGATCTGCCAGCACTGATGCAATTCTTAAATCAAAAGTGCCTAAACATGATTCAAGCTATTAGGGCTATGCATCAGGGCGACTGACAGCGACGAAGGACGAAAGCTCTCCAGTCTCAATTAAGGCGAGCCTTAAGACTCTGGACCTAGCAGAGGCGCCGACGATGATACCTTGACCCTGTTCGGTGTCATGTCTGTCTGTGTGGCACTCAGGTGTGGATCTCGAGTGTTGCCGAAGTCCTTGCAGCTCCTCACCTGTCGCTGCTGGACTTGCGTGCTGAGACCCAGCGACATCGACAATTGGAAGTCGCCCCATTCTCCTGGTTGAAATCAGGAAGTGGCCGGACCGAAGTTTATGTGCTAACAGCATGGCTCCAAATCACGATAATAATCAAGCAAAGTTGAACTCGAAAATAAGTGTTTAAGGTTGTCCAGACTGTTAACTATTTCTTTAATTATTAATTTAGTGTTGAAAAATTTAAGAAAAAGGAAAGGCGATTAGTTTGAGTAGGATGATGTACAGCAGAATTGGCACACTGAATGTAGTGTTAGTGGTATTTTTGCAAGACCACCGTCCAGATTTGCATTCAAAGTGTGGGTGTTATCGTGGTATATTAACTGTAGAATTGAAGATGCAGTACATTATGTTGGAATCAATTAACGTTCATTCACCATTAATCGGTGAAGTGATCGGCAGGTGTAAAATGTATTATAATTTATTACCTATAATGTTTAACATTTGTTAAGAGGTAATGTTTAATGTACATAAAGTAAATGTATGCAATAGTAATTGTAGTTCATAAGCATATGGTTGTGTTTCAACTACAAGTGGTTTTTATATGTTGTCATTAACAGTTACATTTCTGGAATCCTTAGTGGCTCGCACACTTTCATTTCAGGGAGCAATATCTGTGGGTAAGTACAATTCAATATGATTGAATTACTAGGTATTGGAAGATAACCATTACTGGGAGGTTTATTTGGTTTTCATTATCTTCGTTGATCGTGGTAAATAAGATAAAGTGCATTGTTAGTTTTATTGTCAGGTTTTTAAATAGGCATCACAAATAGACACCTTGGTGTGAAATTATTTGTGAATTTTGTGTTCATTACTATAACCTTCTAGTTGTTTGTTTGTACTCACCATTTTTCTGTTTAAATCTTTCTTATGCAGTAGTTAATGTTCTTTTCCTTTGTTAACTGTTTCTTATTGGTTAAGTATAGTAGCTTGCAAATAGTTATTCAAGTGGTCTTATTTGTAATTTAAGTTTAAAAATAGTATCCATGGAGGCCAATATTAGGAAGCTTGGGCGTCAGCAGTTTGATAATGTATAGATAAAGAATGTGTACTCTGTATTATTTATATATATATATGATAATATATATATATATATAATAATATATGTGTAGTCATTATAGTATATAGGGGAGGTTATATGATAGGGGGTATTACATATATATATATATATAGTTGATATATTTTTTTTTTATGTTCTATTATATTTTGAGATTTGTTTTTTATATTTTTTTTTTTATTATTTTGTTTTTTATATGTTGCGTATATATGTTTATTATTTTTTTTTATATTTTTTTTTTTT